GTTGTGTCATTTCCTGGCTTTGGTATCAAGGTGATATTGGCTTTGTAGAATGAGTTGGGGAGGATTCCATCATTCTCGACATTGTGGAATAATTTCTGAAGTGTAGGTATCAGAGTACCAGTTCTTCTTTGTAGGTCTGATAAAATTCAGATGTGAACCCATCTGTCCTAGGGCATTTTTTTTATTGGAAGATTTTTTATTGCTGCTTCAATTTCAGTACTTGATAATTGGTCTGTTCAGGAATTCTGTTTCTTCCTGAGTGAACCTAGAGGGGTTGTATGTTTCTAAGCATTTGTCCATTTCCTCCACGTTTTCAAGTTTTGGGGCAAAAAGATTTTTATAGTATTCAAAGATGGTGTTTTGTATTTCCGTAATATCAGTTGTGACTTTTCCTTTTTCATTTCTAATTGAGCTTATTAAAGTCCTTTCCTTTCTGTTTCTGGTCAATCTAGCAAAAGGCCTGTCAATTTTGTTTATCTTTTCAAAGAACCAACATTTTGTTTCATTAAACTTCTGTATAGTTCTTCTGTTCTTGATTTCATTTAGTTCTGCCCTGATCTTGGTTACTTCTTTTCTTCTTCTGAGTTTAGGATTGGTTTCCTCTTCCTTCTTTGGTTCCTTGAGATGATTCATTAGTTTGTTAATTTGTGATCTTTCTGTCTTTTGGATGTGGGCATTTAAGGCTATGAGCTTTCCTCTCAGGACAGCTTTTGCTGTATCCCACAGGTTTTGATAACTTGTGTCCCCATTATCATTTAGTTCAAAGAATCTTTTGATTTCCATCTGCATCTCCTCCTTGACCTAACAATCATTCAGCAATAGATTGTTTAATTTCCATGACTTTGTGTAGTGGTAAGTGTTTCTGTTGGAATTCATTTCTAATTTTATTCTACTGTGGTCTTAGCAGATACATGGTATAATTTCTATTTTTTTTTAATTTGTTGAGATCTGTTTTATGGCATAGGATATCATCAATTTTAGAGAACGTTCCATGAGCTGGTGAGAAGAATATATGTCCAGTGTGGATGTTCATCAATGTCTGGTCATTGAAGAATTAGGTATTTATTTTAATCTTCACAGTCTGGGCTTGTTTGAACCTGTCCTTCTTGAGAAGGCTTTCCTGATAGTCAAAGGTAATTGAGTGTTGTGATCTATGTCTTTGGTCACTGTAGCACTGGGGGTGCCGCAAGCCCAATATTGCTGTGACTCTTGCACACTCCTGGTGGTACTGCCTTGATGGACTTGGGTAAGATGCGAGAGAATTCCCTGGATTACCAGGCAGAGTCTCCCTCTCTTCCCTCGCTCTCTGTGCTAGGCTGTTGGAGTTAGGGGAGGAGTGATGTGGGTACTCCTTTGTGGCCACCAGCACCAGGTCATACCTGAAGCCAGTCCAGTCTCATCCAAAGCCTGTGGTGACTGTTACTTGGCTACCTCTTATGTTTATTCAAATCCCAAGGACACTTTAGTGAGAAGGCTATGAATCCTGCCAGGCCTGGGTCCTTTCTTCCATGGCAGCATGTTTCCATCTGGCCCAGGGTGGGTCCTGAAATGCCTTCCAGGAACTAAGGCTTGGGCTCAGGGGCTTCAGGAATCTGCCTGGTACTGTATTTTACTATGGCTGAGCTGGTACCCAGGTTCCAAAACAAAGTCCTCTGAACTTTTCCATTTCTTTTCCCCAAGTGGAGGAAGACTCTCCCTGTAGTTGGGGGAGGGGTGACACAGGTGCTGGCTTGGCCACCACCACTGGTGTCTCACTGAGTCACAAGCAGCCCAAGTCCCCTGGCTCTGAGTCAGCACAGCCTCAAGAGTTGCCCAAGGACTGCAACCTATGTGGCCCAATTGCCTTATGAATTTAGTACAGGCCCCAGGGTGCTTTTTGTCAGTAGGTGGTGGGGTTAGCTTGAACTCAGGTTTCAAGATGCAGATTTTTCTTTGGCCAGGCTGTTCTAAATGCTCCCTCCTGGGCACCTGCAGAATTCTGCCCTGTGCTGTGTTCCCCTGTGCCAGGGCGGCCTTGACTTTCAATTACTTCACTCTCCCTCCCCTGCCTAGGGATGGGGAAGGGTTGGCATAGGCAAAGAAAGACTGTCTTTTCTACCCTCTTCCTTGCCTCTGTCCTTGATATTAAAATATTAATACAATGTTAAAACCAGGTAGTATAATCACTCACCTGACTTTTATTTCTTCTGAAGGTGATTGCTTGCATGGATGGTTGTTGAATTAGTTGTTTGCGTAGTGAGGATCTCTGGAGGTTTCTATTATGCCAACTTGCTGCTCCTCCTCCTCTCATTACTAGATTTTTCCAAAGTGTATTTCATTATTTCATCAAATGAAATAGTAACTTTTAATATTTTTTTACTCTTTGTGAGTGTTCTAATTTGCTTGTTTCTGATTTTGTCACATAATTTCTTCCCTTTTTCTATTCTTTAGGGATATTGTTGTCATTCTTGTTATTTTCATTTTCTCCAGGAATGTTTTGGATGTTTGGTTACATGGCATATCCATTTTCTCAACAGGCAGTCTCTTATTATCTTCGTCATTTTCTTCACTTTTACTCGGGTGAGCATTTTGCTCATCTTATTGAAGTGGGTGAGTATTTTCTTTGTTATTAAGAATGAGTTTTCCCTGATACTTCTTTATGGTGATATAATGATCATCTTTCATAAATGACCCATAGATTCTTCCAGAGAGGATACACACATTACTTGGAAGGTGTAAAGTTCAGAAGGTGTCTGTTTATCCTTTTGTACTCATTATAGTCATATATTCCACCCAAAGGCCACTGTCTCTTCAGGCCTGTACCATGCCAGTTGCTCAGGATTCTACATCCCCAGGAAATTCTTGCCTCTCTGCCCCACCCCCACCCTCATCCCCAGCTCGAGTACAGTGAATGAGCTGATGTGTGTCCCGGACAACACCGGGCACTCACTCAGACCATGAACTCTGCAGTGGGCTTTCAGCAGGGTCCTGAGGTCTATGATCTGGAATTTACTCTGACTAGAGTTCACATTGGACTCTAGAATGGACTCTGAGCTCTAGGATGAGGTCCAAGATGGACTGGGCCAAGTGGACACAGGTTCTGGGTTGGCCTGCACTCTACGTACCTACTGTGACACTGGACTCTAGGCTGGGCCCTAGGCTTAGCCACTCCGGATAACCAAGGCACAACCTCAGACTTTTGATTCCTCCCAGCAGTACTCATTTTTCAAATAAAAAACAAGCTCATGGGCATGTGGAAGTAAACACTGGACTATTTATTTAAAAGTGAGATTGTCAGCTCAGGTAGGTAGGCAGGCCCCTCAAGGCCCTTCTGTAACAGGGTAACCAAGGAACAAGAGAAGGAGACAGATGGGGTGCAGGAAATGAGGTAAGGCACAGAAATGGCCTCCTCTCCCAACACCAGAGCTTCCTCTGGAGAAAACTCTTCTGTTGTGCTGTTTCTACCTCTCTCTGGGCAGTGCTGGCAACATGCTCCCCAGACTGAGGTCTCTGATGACCACAAAGGAACTCCAGGAACCTAGAGCATCCTTGGGACTGAGCAGCAGTCTGTGTGTCTCAGAAGCCGAGCCCAAGTCCGTGGAAGCAAGTAATTTTCTCCTCTGGGCCTCTGCCCTGGCAGGAAATGCAGAATCTGTCCTGTCCTAATTATAGGATGGCTCAGCTGAGAGCACCTGAGGCAGCAGCGGTTCCACAAGCTTGGCTTCACTGTCCGTTCAGGCTTTGGTGGGATCTCCTGTACCTATGAAGAACCTGTAAAAGAGGCAGCCATTGAGGTCTCTGAGCCCTGGAGGAGAGACCCAGCCCTTCATCATATGTCTCCAGGCCCAGAATTTCTCCAGAGAGATTACTTCCTGAGCCTTCCCAGCCTTCAGAGCCAGATGCCCCTAGGAAGAGGGAGACACTATTTCCTGTTTGGTTTCCAGCCCATTTCCTATGATATTCACTGCTGCGAGAGAAAGCAGCTGGCAGAGCATGATCAGTGTTGTTTGTCACAGAGCCACAGGCTGCGGGTGGGCAGTAGTGCGTGCCATCTAGACCAGCCCAGCCCAGTGCCTGTCCTCCCCAAGACAGTGTGAAGTAAGCCCAACTTGTATGTGCTAAGTCCAGACAGAGATCCCCGCACTACCTGGAACAGAAGGAACAGAGTGTAAGAAGAGAGCCTGAGGAGAAGATGTCAAACAGGATGGAGGGGACTCTCTAGTGTTTCCTAACTGGAATCCATTTCTCCTTCTGATAACATTATGCTTATTATTCACTGCATAGCACTGGGGAGCACTATCCACATTGTATTTTTCACATGCATGCTCTTGGGGACACCATTTACATTGTGTTCCTATGTGGATGGCCCCCTGGAGTTGTGCCACACCCCTGTGGGCACCACTCCTTCCCAACTCTCTGTCCTCCTCTCGGTTGTCTGGGTAAGGCTGGCCTCATCCCCACTCCAGGGTTCACCTCATGCTCCAGGCACAGCCAACAAGAGCTCCTGAGCCCCAGAGCTGCAATGATGGAATCAGAGGTGGGCATGTGACCCAAGCTGGGCCAGTCCAAATCAGTGAATGCCAGACTTAGGTATTTTGCTAGAACTGTTGTTTTATTTCCTCTGGAGTTGTTAAGCTGCTAGGACACAAGCCCAGAGAGGCTAGTGAACACTTTCTTCTCTGTTGGAGAGCCCATCTAAGCAGGAAGCCCACACAGAGAGAATTAAAGCCTATAAGAAAGACCAAGTCCTGAAGACGTTGTTTGAGCACCACCCAAAGCAACTGCTACCTGTGAACTGTTGGATTATGTGAGATCATGAATTCCCCTTCATGACATATGCTGTTGTGAGATGGGTTTCTATAACTTGCAACCAAAGGTCCTAGATAGAGCCATGTTCTTTTCCTCTGAAGAGGCTCCTTCTTTCCTTCTCCAAACTGAGGTGAGAGCCTACCCTCCATTCCTGGATGCTCTGGAGCAGTCACCAGGTGCCCACCAGTTGGGCCAGTCACTGAGTCACACTCCTACCTAATGAACAGTCCCACCAGCAGGGCAGCCAGGAATGGGCCCACCCAGTAGATCCAGTGGAAGCCCCAGTGGTTGGCCATCACCGCAGGTCCAAAGGCACGGGCAGGGTTCATGCAGGCTCCGGACACATTACCCCTGCAAACAGCCAGCACACTGGTCACCAGGATCCCAGCCAGGCCCCACCTCCCCTCAAAGTCATGTCCCCAACTAGGGCTAGGGCACACAGACCCTGGAAACCCTCTCTAAACTTCCATATCATGGACTCCCAGGGTGCATCCTTAACACTGGGAAGCAAAAAGCATGGCTCCTCTCTGAGTATAGAGTCTGACACTCCCCATACACCCTAAGGTAAAAATGACCAGCAAAGAATGCCTGTTTGCTGATGGCAGGAAGAGAGGCTGGATCTCAGTCCTATCCAAAGTCTATAAAGCAAAGTCAAGTAGTTGTCACCCACTTTGAAGTCAAGCTGACCTAGAGTCAAAGCCCAGCCCAGCTAGTTTTTATGGTACCTTTGTTTAACTTCCTGTGTTTCAACTGAGGTGAAAGTTCCTATGCCATAGGTTATTGTCAGGAGTGAATGAGAAAATGCATATAGAGCCCATGCCTCACATATAATTAATGTACAATAATACGAACTATAATCTAGCCCACCCAGCGAGACCCTTGTGTGCACCACAAGCTTGGGGCCTTGACTCTCCTGCAGGGGGACTGTTCCCCATGTCCCAGGTGCACCTGTCTAGTTCTGGGTCTGGATCCTCAGCCCATTCACTCAAGCTGGGGTCCTGCAGACCACATCCCACCCTGTGTCCAGCAACCAGTCAAAAGGCTTGTGTGTGAACCACGGCCACTAGGCGGCAGCAAAGCATGGCCACAGCTTTACACACATTTACACACAGCTTTACACAGCTTTACACAAACATGACAGAGCTGACCCAGGAGAAGGGCTAGACTAGGTTCTCTGTCAAAAGGAAGGAAGGAGTTGGCCATTAGGATGGGGCTCCCTCATCTGTCAGATCTGTCACTTAATTTGTCACTTAATCTGTCACTTAATCTGTCCCCAGATCTGTCACTTAATTTGCCACTGGCCATTTACCTTATAAGTCCCTTCTATCTTCTCTGAGCCTCAGGTTCCTCATCTATAAAATGGGCTAAATAATCCCTGACCCTACCTTGTTTCCTTAATCCCTCCTTAAGGCTACTGAGATATTCAAAATAAATGAGAGAATGGCTGTGGGTGCTCTTTTTAAGCCTGAGGCTAAAATCTGGGTTCCCACCTGCTGAATGAACATAGCCTATAAGAATGTTTTATTTACACAACCAAAATTGGAAAACTTCACATAAAAATCCAGATTTCTGATATTCCTTGAATGAAATCAGCTGGGTCACCTGAGACTCACCTTCTCATGCAGTGACGATTGACTAGGGCTGAATTGACTGAAGTCCTTAGACACCACAGTCCCCAACACTCCCTGTTGTCTGCCATGTTGCCAGCCCACTGCCCCCATCTGCAGCACCAGCCCCTATTGGCAGCTGAGTCTGTGGCCTCCGGGCCTGACCTCCTCTAGAGCCAGGTCAGCACAGGTTGTCCCACTGCTGAGGAACACTCACCCTGCCAGGACGATCATGGTGACGGAGAGGCCAATGTAGAATGGGGCCACAGGGCGTGTGGTCCTTTCTTTGGTGACGCCTGTGCATATGACCAGGGCCAGCACTGTCAGGATGACTTCTGCCACCAGTGCCCTCACCACCTGCCCCTGCTCCTGGACTGTCACAAAAGCTCCCCCAGTTGCATTCCAGAACCTCTCCTCAGGACTCACCACCTGTGGAGAGAAGCCACTGAGCCTCACCAGGGAGCAGAGAGACAGCTGGGAGCTGAGGGGAGGGGACCTAAAAGCGCACGCTGCCCACCTTAACAGTCAGTGAAGGGTTATGTCAATTTGGAGGTGGACATGTCTGGGTCCACATCCCAGCTCCCCCAGTTCTGTGTGACTCTGTGTGAGCTACTGGACCTCTCTGAGCCTTGCTTTCCTCATCTGAAAAGTGGGACAACCAAGCAGTTGTTCTAAGGGTTATGGGCTTGAGCTTGTGTAATTTAGATGACCCTCATTGAGAAAAAGAACATAAGCAAATGGGCCTTGGAGTGGTCACAACACCTAGAGAGGGAGCTCCACCTAAGACAGTGGAGCACACAAGCTCCTGGATTCTGGATGTGCAGCTGAGCTCTGCTACTCACCAGCCTGTCTGAACATGGGCAAGTTACCCACTTCTCTGTGCCTCCATTTCCCCATCTATAAAATGGGGGTAGACCGGGCACAGTGGCTCACGCCTGTAATCCTAGCACTCTGGGAGGCCGAGGTGGGCGGATTGTTTGAGCTCAGGAGTTCGAGACCAGCCTGAGCAAGAGCGAGACCCCGTCTCTACTAAAAAAAAATAGAAAGAAATTATCTAAACAAAAAATATATAGAAAAAATTAGCCGGGCATGGTGGCACATGCCTGTAGTCCCAGCTACTCGGGAGGCTGAGGCAGTAGGATTGCTTGAGCCCAGGAGTTTGAGGTTGCTGTGAGCTAGGCTGACGCCACGACACTCACTCTAGCCAGAGCAACAGAGTGAGACTCTGTCTCAAAAAAAAAAAAAAAAAAATGGGGGTAATAATGACAGCTCCTAGGTCACAGGTATGGCTCTTGGCATACCTGGCACATAGTGAGCGCTCTCTAAGGACTGACTATGGTTTCTCTTGAAGTTGTTGGGAAATAAAGGAATACATGGAAAATGTTTAGTAAGGAGGGTGTGCTCCATGAACGGCAGCTGCTGCTGCGCGCTTGTCGACATCATGTTTGACAAGTTTCACGTGGCAGGGCTTGAGTGAGAGTCTTACTCACTTTCCATAGGGAATTAGAGTGGGAAGGTCCAGGCTGCCTTCTACAGACAGCGAAACAAACTGTGGGTCTCACATGGTGGCATGGAGAGACCAGGGCCGAGGTATACAGCAAAATGGGACTTTGGGCTAAAGCCTGCAGTGGGTAGGACTGAGAGCTTCAGAGCCAGGCACTGCCAGGCTGACTGCTCTCCCATCCACCACACACAGCAAGCGAGACCCGGGTCTTGAAATGTCCCTGGTTAAACTGAAACTTAAGGGTGGAGGGAAAGAAGGAAAGAAGAATAGAGAGAAGGAGGAAGAAGAGGAAAGGAAGGAGGGAATCCATCCCTGGACTTGTGTGTAGAACTATAAAAGTTCTGTGGCTGAGAGGAAGAACTGGCTTTCCTGCTGGGGCAGGAGGATTCCTACTATGAATTAAATATCCACTCTCATCAAAGGTAACTCAGTTTAAAGGCAAGCAAACTGGAGAATACACAGAGAAGTTAATTCTGGAATTTCTCAAGGGTAATAATCATATTCATCTTGAATCCTCAGTGAGTGCTTAGTGAGATGTTTGTAGAATGAATGAACAAGTGAATCAATGAATGAGGACATGAATGAAAAAACATTAGAACTATCCTAATCAACTCCACAGCCAGAAATGGGCTCAGGAAGAAAAATGCCAAGTTCTGAATGTGCTTTCTGGTCTGTAGGGAAGGGCTGTGTCCAGATGGCAACAGAACAGGGTAGGATTGGAGGGAACAAGGCCCACCTCAGTAGGAAAGGGTCCACCCTGTTTCACCAGCAGAAACAAGCCAAGAGTTGGGCCTTTCCCCAGTGTCTGCCACCCCTTGAAACACCCCCCAGCAACCACCAGCCCAGCCCCCTGGGGGTTACCCACCTTGGCCAGGGCAGCCCCGATCAGCCCCCCAAGCAGCTGGGAGATCCAGTAGGGAACGAGCATCATCAGGGTGAGGCCTCCGCTTAGCATGGCCATCAGAGATGCCGCAGGGTTCAGGTGTCCCCCACTGTAACCCACAAGAGCAGAAAAAAGTCATGAGGCCACTGTCCAGGGCCAACCACGAGTCTGTCACCTGAGAGAGTATGTCCTCAGCAGCCCCCCAGGCTGGCCTCACAGGGCCAGAATCAGTCCAGGATCTAGCCCAGATAGGAAGAGGCACCAGATGGCTGCCATTTTCCCTGAGGTGTTGGGCGGTGGGGTGAGAGGCACTGGGGTTGCTAAGCGTATGGGAGAGTAGCCCCTAAGCCTAAGCCTCGACCCCAGGGTGGCCCCAGAGGAAGAACGTGTGGGGAGACTGTCCCATAACTCCTTCTAGACTCCCCCAGAGCTTCCTCCAGCCTCCAGAGATGTGGCTGCAGGTCAGACTGAAACCACAGGTTCTGATGAGTTAGTAGCCCTGGCCTCCCCTTATTGGTATCGAGGCTCAGAATGAGAGCTCTGGATGTAACTACTCAGCCAAGAAATCCCCATTTGTGGTCTGAGAGTGTGAGGATTGAAACTTGGAAGTTAGGATTCAGGTTGGAAATGGCATTGAGAACCGGGGGGTGAGGGTGGGGGTTCCTGATTGGGTCAGGGATTGGGATCGGGAGTTTGGGATGAACATGGGAGCTAGACGAGTCAGGACCTAGGGTCAGAGGGCAGCTTCCAGTTGGCTGGCCCCTGCCTTGCTCATGGGTAAAGAGCTTCCTATTCATCAAGATGCTCAACTAGCCCTGACCTCAGAGCCAGGAGGCCCCCAAGCCCCTGCACCCCATTGGTATGTGTGTCCCAGCCCCACTCTGATGGAGGGACTGTTCTCAGAGGTTGGCCCATTACATCCCTCTGGTTCCCGGAAATGGATACCCCCCAATTAGGGAAAGTGACCCAATGACCCCCCCCCAACATCACACAAGAGCCAAAGTGCTCCCAGATACTAAGAGCCCACCGGTGAGCCTGCCCACCCCCAAAGGACACAGGGCATTGAGCTGAGACTGGACAGAGGACCTTGGCTCTGGACAAAAGGACTTTGTCCCACTCTCTGATACTTCTTGACCAGCTGCCCTCAGCTTGTCTGGCCCAGCTCTATGCCCAGACTCTCAGGTGAGCCTCCTGCATTATATGAAAGCACCAGCCGCTACTCAGCCTCCAAAAGTCAGGAAGAGGGCCAGGCACGGTGGTTCACGCCTGTAATCCTAGCAGTCTAGGAGGCCAAGGACGGTGGATTGTATGAGCTCAGGAGTTCGAGACCAGCCTGAGCAAGAGTAAGACCCCGTCTCTACTAAAAATAGAAAGAAATTGGCCAAACAACTAAAAATAGAAAAAATTAGCCGGACATGGTGGTGCGTGCCTGTAGTCCCAGCTACCCGGGAGGCTGAGGCAGGAGGATCACTTGAGCCCAGGAGTTTGAGGTTGCTGTGAGCTAGGCTGATGCCGCAGCACTCTAGCCCGGGCAACAGATCTAAAAAAAAAAAGTCAGGAAGAGGTGCAGCCAGGTCCACTTGGCCCCAGGTAGCTCACCTGGGCTATGCCAAAGCAAACAGGGGATGCTTTGGCTTCCCAGGGGGGTGGGGTGGCTTCCCAGGGATCCTGCAGAGCTAGAACCCCTGAGGCCATCAGCCTGTCCTCCACCGTCTCACCTGCCCAACCTGGGGAGAGACTGTTATTGAGCATGGCTCCAACAGGACAGGGTTGGATGCCCTGAGGACCACACATGTTCCCTAGACTCAAAATATTTTGTTTATTCATTGATTGCTCTCTCAGCAAATATTTATGGAACACTTACTGGGTACTTTACATACCTTACCTTAGATCTGTTCAACAACCTCAAAGTAATTGCCTGACATGCATGAGTTGCTGAATAAACATTTGTGCAAAAAAGTCAATGATTGAATAAAAGGTTCATATTATAGAGAGACAGGATACTACAGTGCCTGAGAGATGGTCTCTCCTGACAGCTGGCCTGGGTTCACACTGCATTTCTGATACTGCATAGCTGTGTGACCTTGGGCAAGTTCATTCTCTCTCTCTGCTCCAGTGATCCCTACCTGACAAGGCTGTTGCAAACATGTAATATATCAATACATGAACAGCAGATAGTACTGTCTCGATAGTTAGTAACAATATTAGCTATTATTACCCACATTTATACCACTGTACACAGAGGTTCAGGCACTTGCCCTGGTGACCTAGTGAAGATGTGACAAAGGTTGCATTCACCCCCAGACCCATCTGAACAGAAGGTGGTGTGCTATTCATTCCACTCACAGCCTCCCTCAGACATTTAAGGAGATGTTAAAGTTCTCTTTCCATTCTGGTTTTCTCAGAAACAGTATCTTAATTTTCCTATTCAGATCTATTTTCTCAGTGAGATTAAATATGGGCCAACCTTGTCACAGATCCTCCTGCCAGGCGCCTTTCCTGGGAACCTGCTGACCCCACAGCCCTCACCACTGAGCCCCCACCCAGGTGAGAGCTGAGCCAGAGGAGCCCTTCCCCTCTGCCTGCCCTTCTGGTCACCACTTGACTGGCCGGGGCCACTGCAGGTCCTTGCACACCCAAGTGGGGAAGCCCCCAGTCGGTTCCTCTGCACATCTCTGCTTTCCCTAAACCCCTTGTAGTGGTAACAATGACTCAGCCACCAGTACCGGCTGGTGCTTGGCGTGTGCTGAGCGCCTCACTTCATTTTCATGCACCCCCGTGAGGCACTCGGGTTTGGGTGCTTGAGCCAGACAGCTTGGACTTGGTTCCTGGCTCTGTCGCTTTCTAGCCCTATAACCTGGGACAGGTTACATGGCCTTTTGCAGCTGTAAAATGAGGCTAATAACAGGACCTACCCCACAAGGTTCTTGTGAAGCTTGGATGATTATCTATAAAGTGCTTACAATAGTGCCTGGGACGTGGTTAGAGAGATAGACATGTTGGTTTGGGAAAAAATTCATTGAAAAACTACGTTCCTATTCCCATTTTACAGTTTGGAGAGGGACTTGCCCAAAGCCAGGCGCTCACGGGCTGCAGAGTGAGGAGAGGACCCCAGGCAGGCTGGGGCGCCACCCCACGCTGCTCCACAGCCCTCCCCGGAGTCCTGAGTGGTGCTGGGGCCTGACCACAGCTTTGTCCCCACCCCAGCTCCCCAAGGGAGCCCCAGGCTGAGTGCTTGGGGCTGGTCTCACCTGATGTTCCCCAGTGTGGCAATGATGGTCCCCATGGCCAGCCCGTGGGCCAGGGCTGGCTGCAGCAGCCCAGTGTCTGTCCCATTCTCGATGACAGACAGGCAGCCGATGAAGATGAAGAGGGCAGAGCCCAGCAGCTCAGCCAGGCAGGGCTGCACCAGCTGCTCGTACCAGGACACCCGCCACCTGTCACCCGTGCTCGGCTCCTTCGCCTTGGCATTGCCAATGTTAGAGTCACACATAGCTACCTGCCGCAGGGGAAAGAGACAGTGGACGTGGGTGGCAGGAGAGCCCAGACAGGAGGCCCCGACCCCCAACCTTGAATTCATTCGCAGCCACCCCTCGCTCTGCCAGGCTGCAGAGGAAGATGCGGCAGTGGGCTCACCTCTACAGACATCAGGAGGAGACGGCACAAGCCCCGGGCGCTTGCCTGACCTGCTGGGAAACCCGCACCTGTTGTCCTGGGCACTCTTGTCTCCGCTGGTCCCACACTACAGGCTCTGCCTCTTTTAAAGGAATGCAGAGGCTCACTGACAGTGCTCAGAAGCCAATAAAGTCCTTGTGGGTGGTGGCCCTGAAACCCAGAAGAAGAAACTTTTTTATTTCATCTCACCAGGGCAGGGCTGGGGTGGGGAGTCAAGGATTGCTGAGCTTCCTGCCAATGAGGGGAAAGGCACTGGCTTGGCTACGTCACCTGGACAGAACGCACCAGGCCTTGCACTCCAGCTCTCCATGGTTCACGTAAGGCCAGCACGTGTCAGAGGGCATGCAGAGAGCCCCATCATGTTGGGACCTCTCAGGTTAAGAAACAGCAAACTCATCTTCAATTGTTTTTCCCCGGATGCCCACAGGCATCTCCTACCTGAGGCCCCAATACCTGCCCTCACCCTGATGGCCTGACCCAGGACCCAGTGGCAAAAGACGATCCCCCACCGGGTGAAGCAGCGTAGATAAGCAAGAGGCCACATGGTGTGGTGGTAAAACCTGTGCATTTTGGAAACTGGCTTCCTGGATTTAAATCCCAGCTCTGCTGTGAACCAGCCACATAACCCTGAGCATGTGCCTCAACTTCCCTGCACCTTTGTTTTCTCCTCTGTCAAGTGTGGATGGTAGTGACAGTAGCCATGTCACAGGGTCGTTGTGAGGTTTAAATGGGCTAATATTTGTGAAGTGCTCAAGACAATGCCAGGCATAATAAGCACAATACCAGTGTCCATTAATTTAGAATATATTCTTAGGTATAACTAATATTTATTGAGCATGTGCTATGTGCCAGACATGGGCTAACTACTTTATATATAGTATCTCATTTGAAGCTCACAGAAACCCTATGAGGTAGGTACTATTATTACAATTATTTTGTAAATTGGAAGTGGAATTTCAGGAAGGTTGACTTTCCCAGGATTATACAGCTTATATGATCACAAAACTTGTGGGTTGTCACAAAAGGACAGACACTATATATGATTCCACTTATATGAAACACCTATGCTAGTCAAATTCATAGACACAGAAGACAGAATGGCGGTTCCCACTGGATGGGGAGAAGGGAGAGAGGGGAGTTAGTGTTTAATTGGTACAGATTTTCTGTTTGGGAGGATGAAAAATTTCTGGAGATGGATGATAGAGATAGTTGTGCAACAATGTGAATAGACTCAATGTAACTGAACTATAACCATTTTAACTTAAAAATGGTTAAAATGATACATTTTATGTGTATTTTACCACAATTGAAAAAAAAAAAAAGAAAGCCTGTGGGCTAAGCCGCTACACTCTACTGCCTTTCTAAGATGGATGGATGGGTGGGTGGGTGGGTGGATGGAAGGAAAGATGGATAGATGGATGGATGGATGGATGGAAGAAGGAATGGATAAAAGAAAAGTATGGAGGAAGGGAGGAAGAGATGGGTTTTCTTATTCTTTCATTCTTCAAATGTGTAAATAGCTACCGTGAGACGGTCACTGTTCTAAGGACTGGCTGGAGATGTAGCAGTGAACAAACAGGTGAGGATTCTGCTCCGTGCTCATAGCTACAATCTGAGTGTTTGTATGTCTAGCTAGAGACAGAGAAATAATATTACAAATAAGGGGATTTTAAGGACCATTTCTACCATTACTGACTAACTACATGTCCAACACTGTGCTAAGCACTCTGCACATATTCACAACAACCTTGTAAGTCCCATTACTTCTTATCCCCATCTTCAGGTGGGAAAAATGAGGCACAAATACATTAAAGAACTCACCTATGTTTGTGTAGATAAAAGGTATCTGTTTCAGGACAGACATGGATATATCTGGACAGAGCTGGGACAGTTCGTTGACAGCCTTTGTCAGCACGAGGCTTGGGAATCCAGGACTTCTGTTCAACATCTGCTCATCTCAGAAAGTTTCGGGATCTGCTTTCTTCCAATTATCTTTAGCTCTATTCCCTCCCTCCACCCTATCCCACAACATGTGGGTCCAAGATGTTTCTTAGACCTTCCTTCAAATTCCCTGTAAATAGCAACGAAGACAGTTGTCCGACCCTTAGCTTCTCCGTCCCCTCATTCTTTGCTCGAGTCCTGCCAGTGCTGCTTCCAGAATAATTCTCTCCTGTTTTCACCCACGCCTTCATCACTGTTTGCTTAGTCCCTTGAGAAAAATCAAACTAACATTCATTATACACCTTCCATTATATACCTTCCCACACTGGACACCTCGGATGCATCCTCTCAATTCATACTTACAGTGTCCTTTTATTTAACCCATTTCACAGCAGGAACTCCCTGCTGGAGTGGATTGCTATGATAACTCCTCATCTGGTCTGCTTGCTTCACCCAACCATCATCCATTCCTTTCACAGTGGGAGCCAGCAGGGCACAGTGGGTAATGGTGGTCCCCATCCCCATAGGGATTTTGTGTGTACAAAATGAGGCAATGCATTTAGCACAGTGCCCAATTCAGAGCGAGTACCCAAGAAATAGCAGCTCTTGTTTTGGTTTGTGTTAGTCAGAGTAGGCTAATTGCTTTAAAAAAAAAAAACAAAAACAAAAACAAAACCCACATTACAATCACTTAGCATAATAAAAGTCGATTGCCCACATAATAGTATATAGCAGGCTTTTCACCAAATGGTGACTCAGAGGTGACTCAGGGATCCAGACAACTTCCATCTTGAAATCTCCCCATCTAAGTCCTTGAATATCATCCAGCAAACAGGGAAAGAGACAATGTGGAGGGTTGTGTAGGAGATATAATGGATTGGACCTAAAAGTGGTAAATATCCGTTTCATCCATATTTGATGGACTAGAACTCAGTCACATGGCTTCCCCTGCCTGCAAGTCATCAGGGAGATGTAGTCTAGCTGGGTACCCAGGAGGAAAAGAAAAGCATTTTATGAATACCATGCAATTTCTACCACATGGTGGTAGTTATTCCCCAGACTATGCTTGTAATTGGGTCCTTCCCTGACTTAAAACCTTTCAGCATCTCCCATGGTTTCAGGACAAAATCAAACTCCCTTTGCAAGCCACACAGGCATTAAGTCCTAGCCCCAATTTGTCTCTTGCCATATGAACATGAAACACTTTCTCAGATGAGCCAGGCACACTCACCCTCCCTGTCCATGCCACCCCTCTGTTTGGAGTCTTTATTTGCCCTCTTGGCCAACTTCTACTCCTTATTCAAATCTCAGATCAGAAATCTGATCCTCCTCCCTGACTCCTGGCCCAACTAGATGTTAGTCCTCTGGACAAGCCCCTCCTTCACTAGAGGAAAGGTTGGGTTCCATAGAGCTCCAAAACCAGTGGATCTGCGAGAAAGTCTGAATATCGTTCAAGCAAAATAACATATTTTCACTGCATGAGAATTTTTGCATGGCCTGATGTTCACACACAAGGTACTGGTCTCCTCCAAAACCATTACAATACCCAGTGGGCTAAGGAGATAGTATTTTCCTAAGAAATTCTTTGGCTGGCAAACTTCCAGTCTCCCAATTCCAGGTCTAGTTGACAAGAACAAGGCCCGTAATTTTTATCCCTGTGTGAATGGCAACAGTTCAAGACATCTCTTCATCTGTACCCACCCTGTCTGCCAACTACCACCAGGAACAGATGGAGAATGAAATATCACATTTTACCAAGGCACATTGCTGTTCCTGCCTTTCTTGAAGTTGATGACTGCACTGTTGTGCAAGAATGTGATACTGGTGCCATGGCAGCCATCTTGAGACCATGAGGTGCAACTACACAGAGGGTGGATCCTTGATGACATCACCATGCCACCAGACCAACCCCAAGACCACCTACTCCAGACTTCATGTTAAATTAACCTGCAGTTTCCAGATTCAGTACCAGGGCACCCCAAGGAACTACAGTGCACTCACAGAGGGGCTCTGGATATTTTTAACTTTAAGAGAAACACAGTGATGCCCAATGTCTATCAGACACCATGGGATCTACTAGCTCAATAATTTACTGTTTTAACGTTATATGGCCCTACATTCCTTTCAGTGACAGTGTATCTCTGTGATGCTGGTTTTATGGCAGTTGCCATCAAGGAAAACCAATGTGGAACAGGAAATGAGGTGGCAGTATCCCATATGATTCTAAGGTCTATGAAATTATGCAGTGCCCCATTGGCACACCCAGCCCATATTAAGTAATCATAATGTTTAAGAATGAAAGTTAATCCAGGCACAGTGGCTCACACCTGTTGCCCTGGTGCTTCAGGAGGTCAAAGTGGGAGACTCACTTGATGCCGAGAGTTCAAGACAAGTCTGGGCAATAATGAGACCCTGTCTCTACAAAAAATACAATTATTAGCCTGGCATAGTTATGTGCACCTGTGATCCCAGCTACCGGGGAGGCTGAGGCAGGAGGATCATTTCAGCCCAGGCACTGGAGGCTGCAGTGAGCTATGATTGTGCCACTGTACTCCAGCCTGGGTGACAGAGCAAGACACTGTTTGAAAAAACAAAACAAAACAAACATAATGGATGTTATTTAATAACTCAAATAAATTATTTATAGTTATTTAAGAATGAAATATAACAAAATATGCATTTTTTTCAATATATATTACTCAATGTGTATTTTCAATGTATGTGTAGTATTGTTTGTATGTAGAATGAATGTATAATATTTTTTCAATGTACATATATTTTTTTTTTCCCAAATGGCTACTAAGTTGTGAGAACATAATCACTTTTTAAGTATTTTGGACCTCACTACTTAATAAACAGAACTATTGAGTATTCTTTTGG